ATTTGTTTAAGGCTCTTTTGGTGCTGGGGGTCATCTACCCTCTTGCATGCTCTATTTAGCCTTGTTTTGAGTCATGCCATGAGACCTTTGTATTGAGCTTTGCTTGGCCCTTTAGCCACTAAAATCAAGCGGATTTTCAGTGGTTGGCATGTGGTTTTGAGGGCCAAAATCAGAGAGGGGTGACCCTCTCTCTTTTGGCCTTGTTTGCTTGCATTTTTGGCTTTCCAAGAGAGCATATATTTCCACACTTCCTAGCCTTGGTTCAGGCCCTTTTTAGTGACTTTAGGACCTTCCTAAACTCTATCTATGTCTGGTTTGGTCACCTTTTGTTTGCCTCTTGCATGTGTAGAACAATCCCTCGCATAGCCTATCAAAGTAACACCTCATTCTTGCATGTATTGGTCATGTTTCAGTGAGTTTTCAGCCATCATTTGGCATTCCATGATTTTATTTTTGGTTGGTTTGGTAGCCTCTCATATGTTTCACATGCTTGTAGTGTAAATCATGTTCACTAGCTTATAATGCATGTTGTTTTGGCCTTCTATGCTAGCATATTTTGGCCATGCTCCAAACTGATTTTGTTCATATTTTAGGCTGCCTTAGCTTTCTTTTGAGGTCCCTTAGTCGAATGATGCTTTCCATGTATGGTTGTAGTGTAATAGACTTGCTTAGCCTTGAGTTTTGAATCCCCTTGCATGCTTAACTTGAGGTGTTTACATGTTTTAGCATCATTGAACATGATATTTCAGAGTTTATTTCTTGGCCATATTCTCATGTTTGTCACTCTTTCAATGTGTTTAAGAGTTGCATCATTATACCCCATTTATGAGCCTTTGCATTGAGCTTCATTCTTATGCCTTTCAAGCCACCATTTTGGCTCATTTTGCCACTGTTTTGGGCCTGCTTAAGGTCTGTTTGGAGTTGGTTTTGTCATTTGAGCATCGCCTTGCAGGTCTCTAGTGTAATGTGCTTCACTAGCTTCGGTACTTGAGCCTTTCGACATGCATTGTGTAAATTGTTTGCATGATTCGGAGCCATTTTGTATGTCATTTCAGAGCTGGGACATGTGTCATTGTATGCCATATTTCATCGTTTCAATGCTTTTGTAGAGTTGCATTTTGTGCCCTTGGGCTTAGGTCCTTGCATTGTGTATGCTAGCATGAGTTTTGGAGTCTTGTTTTCATCATGTTTGGCCACTAATTTGGGTATAGCTGAGGCCCATCCATTTCGGTTTAAGTTCATTTTGCATTGAGTATGCCATTGTAGTTCATAGCATTGCGCATGCTATGTAGTCCGTCGCATTGAGTATGCTATTTGATATTCGCGTTGTGTATGCTAGTTGCATTTTGTCATATTGTTGCATATGTTGCTTTGCATTGAGTATGCATGCTATTGGCATTGGTGGTTTGATCATGTTGTTGCATGTTTGCCCCTTGTATTGCATGTTTGCATACTTATGTTGCATTCCATTATGCTTGCATGCATTGCATTGTAGTTAATCATTGTGGATTGCATTGTAGTTAATCATAGTTGCATTGCGTTTCCATGCTTTTGTTGCATTGTGTTTGGGATAGGAGTTAGCCCAAACACAGGAAACGAGGAGTGTTTCATACTCGAAGTGATGAAACGCGCCTTGATTCCCGGTCGCCGACACTTTTAACTACCCATGACGGAGTTGTTGGCTTTAGGTGTTAATATGTGCATTCATTTCATATTGAGTCGTGCAATTCAGCTCCTTGGCCATCATGCATCGAAATGGGTGATTGGTGGCCCGAGGGTCGAGGACTACACTCCCTTGAGTTTATGCAAGGATGGGGAGAGTGGTTGTGCACACATATGTTGCAAATACTTCGCCGTGCATCTCTCTTTCCTTTTGTTGCAGAAAACCAGAAACCAGGAGAGGAAACTGGTCGGCCAACTAGATTTACAGGTAGGCCGACCACTTTTTTTGGTTTCCACCACAAAAGGTGGTCGGCCATTGGTCTCCCATGCCCATAAGCTGGTCGGCAGCCTTCCCACAGATTTCTAGGGTGGAGTTTCATCTCTCTGGAGCTTTGTGCAAGTTTCTGAGATCAATTACAAACAAAGGCGAGTTGGGACATCGCGATGGATTTCCCGACAAGGCAACTCGAGCATGCATGCATTCTTTATCATTCAAGGCAAAGCTGAGGCAGTCCACATTCATGTAGTTTGCATGCTAGTTTAATTGCTTACTTAGTTAGTTTGTTAATTAATTAGAGTTGTGTAATAATTAGCTGTAATTTATTATTCATTTTGGTTGTGTAATAACTAGCTTAATTAGATTGGCTTAAATTAGCTAGTTGGTGCTGTATTATTTATTCAGACCTTCCGTAGAGAGGGCCAACTGTTGTAATAAGTGTGCGTGTGTGTGATGCATGTCTTTCAACCCCACGTCTTTCTCCCTTTTATTTACCAGCTTATGATGGTTAGTTGTAGGGCATGTTTCAATTAACATCCTTATACTAACATGATTGCATCCATTCATCTGACCTGAATGCACCGGGTTCGGCGCATCATACTAACTGTATTGTATTTCAATTCCAAGTAGAATACATGTTATCTGTAACATCTCATATGCCATTTTAGAATAGCCGAACCTATATTAGTTGCATTCTGCATGTATTGCATTAGGCATCTCAGCATGTTAGGATTTATGCATGATTTCTAATTAACTTCTTTCTTTGGCTCGGAGTACTCGGTGAGTGTTTATACTTTAGCATCCTTGAATGTGTGTGAGTGACTGCCATGATAGCATGCTTGCCATGAGGCTAACTGCTTATGTGATATAACTGCCTAAATGCCTGTGGGTGAAGGTTAGATTACTTGAATTGGAACAATTCATCGATTGCGAGTTTTAAGCCCACTTGAGAGTGGCAAATCACCATATTTTCAAACCCACTTGAGGGTGGGCCAAAAATCACATTTTTAGCCCTACTTGCGAGTAGCAAACGCTTTCAAAAACAAACTTTGTTCCAAATTAGGCGATCTAGTCTATACTTGTACGTTGTGCGCATCACGTAGCAATTCTAGGCTAATAAACTGGAATAAGAGCACATATGTTTTCAAAAACAAGATATCATGTTTAGTAGTGGCCGATCTTTGATCAGGCAAGCGAGGGTGTTCATTGCATGACCTTCCCCAATTGTACCCAAGCTCCCGAGCCGAGGTAACTTTGGTGATAACAGACACGTGGCCTTAGGCACGAGCCAAGGTTTCTTAAATTCTCCCAAAATAAAATATTTAGGTGGCAACTCTGTATCTGGCAAAACAGTCCATGTTTGGCACTTCTTTCTAAAAATCAATTTTTCAAAACGATTTGCCAGATTTGGACTCTTTGGTGATTTATCAATCTCGTATTGCACTTTGCAACATCAGATTAAGAACCGTGACATTGAATCCAAACTGTAGTGAGCCCAATGAACAAAACAGAATTTTCCCGGAACGTTTGGGGACGTCTACAGCAGCAACCACCCCAAATTCTATTTTTTTCACATTTTTACGTGAACAATTAAAAATTAACTTTCGAATATGTTGATTTTTTAATCTCATATTTTAGTCAAAAACTAAAAAATTACTAAAAAAATAACTTCCCAATGGGTTCTTCTTAATCCCATCCAAAATAAGTTTTGTCCATATATTTTATTTTAAGATAAATATATTATAGGGGCAATTTCAAATAAGTTGATGTTTGGAAAAAAATATTTTCAAATTAATTAAAATTTACAAATATTAAAAAGTAAAATTATAAAAAATTTCATGAATTTGTAAATAGTTTTTGGATTTCTCTCTAGGATGTAAATTTCCCTAAATTATACATATAATCTCTATAATTTAATTTTTACGTCAATTAATTATTATAGTTCTAATTGCATCAATTTTATCTTACAATTTTTTATATTATATCAATTTAGTTTAATTAATAAAGCCACTTTAGACATTGAATTGAAATAAAAAAGTAAAATAATTCATTCATTTTTTTCAAATTGATTGAGGAGTTGACATTAATTTAAAATGATTCATTATCATTTTGTAATTGATTTCTATCTAATTTTTTAATAGATATTATTAATTATTCAAATTGCGTAAAAAATTAAGAAAAAAATTGTTGTAATTGAAATTATCGAAACCAATTTAATATAATACTCTCTTCGTCCCAAAATTAGTCCTTTATTTTATTTTCCATTGTCTCAAAATATTAATCACTTTTCAAAAATTAAGGAATAAAATAATATAAATTTACTATTTTGCCCTTATTTTAAATTCATTAATAATACAAAAAGTATAATTATGACAATTGATATTCCGAAATAATTTTAAAAAATTAATATTTTTTAAATATAATAATTATACTATCAAAAAAAAATTAAATTTCCCAAAAGAATCCTTATTTTGAGACGGAATGAGTAATCAAATTATAGATTTGTCCTTCATTTTAAGACAATTTTTTACCCCAACTTTGCGGACAAACTATTTGAATTTTTTTTTTTTTGGCGCAATTGGGCAAAGAGCATATCTATTTGGGGAGGGTTAAAACTGAAAAGACAAAACACAAAAACAATTGCTAAATTAAATTTTTTTTTTTTTTTTTTTTTTAAAAAGGTTAAAAGAAATTGAACCGTTGCATTGTATCTGAAAATCCTAATTGAGAAACCCTACCACTTTCCTTATACTCCTCGAACATCAATGGCGTCTCTTCACGGTGTCTCTTTATCCCCAATAGCCACCACTCAATCATCACCAATGGAACCCATTCACAACCTATATACATTCCACACCATTCTTCACCAAAATTTCCAAAACCCATATCATATTATCACCGTACAACAACAATGGCTTCTTCATCTTTCTCTCTCACTTCTCCATCTTCTTGCCCACCGATTACTGACGAACAGTTCAATGACTTTCACTCCATCGACCGCATCCTCTACTCCAGGCTAGTCCTGGGCCTCGATCGAGACCCTGCAGAGTCCATGCAAGTCATGGCACTCTGGCTCTTACTAGAGCGAGGCAGCTATAACCGCCATTTGGTAAACAAAATCTTATCTCTACCTGGTTCACTGATCAACTCGCTAGTGGATGAGACAGCCAAGTGCTTGAAATGCACCGAGGGTGATAGGTTTGTGTTTGATGGAAAAGAAAATGATATCCCTTTGATGCAAAACTTGTTGGGGAGAGAGATAAATCTCCGGTACTTTCACGAAAACCGGATTTGGGTTCTTCGTGGGGTGACGAAGATCGTGAACGAAGTCTGTATCAGAGCATTTGACGAGATAATGAGATCGGCTTTTAGGAACAACTCTTTTTTTAGTGTTCCATTCTATCATCATGGTAGATTTGGAAGTGGAACAAGCAATGTTGCACTACCGGTGGTGGTTAATTGTGGCGGCGTTGGATCGGAGAAAATTGAAGGAAACCCTAATCAGATAGGGAGTGGAGTGAGTGTGCACGGTGGTTATGATAGTTATGATCAGACAAACCAAGGACAGATTTTGAATAATGAACTGAGAGAGTTGTTTGGAAGAATTAGCATTCTTGTCAATGAGGAAGAGAAGGAAGTTCCTCCCGATGATAGAACTATCTTCTTGACTTTCTCTAAAGGGTACCCCACATCTGAAACTGAAGTCAGAGACTTCTTCACAAGGTACTCTCTCTCTCTCTCTCCATGGAAGATCTATGTATAAACTGGCTTCGTCTTTTTTCAACTTATTTTACTTGGGGACTTATGTCCATTAGATCTTGTGAGAATTAATGGCCATTTTCATCAATTACTATTAAAAAGTGTCACTACTTGTTAATTTTCGGCGATAATATGAAAATTTTGTTACAAAAAAATATCACTAATTGTAAGTGTTAACAACAGTTTGAAAAAATCGTCACAAAGAAAGTTACTAATTTTTAATTTTCAGCAATAGTTTGAAAATTTTGTCATAGAAAAATGTCATAAATTGTAAGTTTTAGCGACAATTTATAAAAATCGTAACAATAAAAAATCACTAATTATCAATTTTAAACAACATATGCAAAAAATGGTTACAAAAAATATTTTTAATTACGATTTTATTAGAACTTATTTTCAATAGGATTTTATGAACATTAAATCTTTTGGTGGGATATCAAAATTTCAATATTCCCTCCAATACATTTGATTGAATCCCACATGGATTTCTTGAGTCTTTTTGAAAGAATTTTTTTCTTATAAATAGGTGAAGACTTTCACAATAATTTCATCAAAACTCTTAATGGGATTCCTCACAAGAGGAGACCCTTAAAAAAGAGTTTCAAATTAAAATTTTCTTATATTCTTATATTTTATATATATATATATATATATAAAATGAGAAAGAAAGAAAAGAAAGAAAGAAAAAAAGAAAAACTGAAAAAAAAAGGAGCCGGACCGGTTCGATCAACCCGTGACCGGGTCAACCGGTTTAACCGGTGGGTTCACCGGTTTTCAATAAATAGTCCGGTTTTTGCAATTGGCCGGTTTAAGAGGGTTGACCGGACCGGAACCCCATCCGGTCACTGGTTCAACCGGTTGAACAGGCCGGTCCGGTCCGGTTTTTAAAACCATGGGTACTATGACTAGCATGGAGCATGTCTCAGTTGGGGTGGATTGCAGGCCCATTGGCTATGTTGCTCTTTGCATCTATTAATGGGAAGCATGTTTGGGCTCGCAAGTATGTGAAGAAGAACCCCAAGTCTCCATCCCATCAACCTACTTCTCCAGTTGCTGCGGCCCCAAAACCCTAATTCAGAGAGAGAGAGAGAAAGTATTTTTAATTTGTCAACTGTACTAGTGTGGACTACTTGAGATCCATTAGTGAGTTGTGGTTACAAGAGATTGTGAACGATTTTGCTATTTATAATTCCAATGATAATTTGTTGTTTGTTGTGATGTTATGTATGTGAGAGGGTAATTTATGAGTAAATTGGGCCGAGCTGGGTACTGGGCCGTTCTAGGGGCCGTAGTAAGAAGGGCTTAGTAAGTGGACCGTAGTCCAGGTGTTAGCTCGGTCCAGGGATGTAGTGACCTAGCAAGGGTTAGCTCGGTCTAAGAGAGCTCTACCGTTAGCTCGGTCACCACACTCAGAGCGGTAACAGTTAGCTCGGTCATACCATATTGAGCCGAAGTATGTTAAGCTTTCCTCATAACCTTGCTATTGGTTAGCTTGGTCCAAGCTCATTGTGGTTAGTGCGGTCTCGGATAACCCAGTTGGAATATGTGAAACTGAGGTACACGCAGTGAAAGGAAGAACCGAGCTAGTGGTAGCTCGGTCTAGTCTGTGGTTTTAGCATGGCTATGTTATCTCGGTCGTATTGACATCCAACCATGGTAAAACCATCTCACTTGGTTTAAGTAGTGAGGGGGGTGTTGAAGGATAAGCATTATCTTTCAGGAATGTAATTCCTAGGAGGACTCTACATGGAGAAGTAAGAGTCCTACTAGGATTGTGCCTCACGAAACCTATAAAAACTCATAACATCACCTATGGAGAGGTAACACAACTTTGATTCCCGAATACACAGAGCTTTTTGTCTATTTTGCTGACTTAGGCATCAGAGAAGTATCCAGCACACACCTGCCGGCTAGCTCACGTTTGTGTTTTCAGGGAGTAAAGCGACGTCGTATGGAGGAGCGCAGACTTGATCAACAGGATTATACGAGAAGGTTTATTTCTTTCTCGTACAATTGGCGTCGTCTGTGGGAATATCAGGCAAAGAACAAAACCTCTTGATCAAGTTTCCCTCGCTAGTTGAATGGCGCACAATGAAGATTTGCCGCAGTCCGCCATCGACGGACAAACCCCATAGGGAGGTGGGAGGCGCGAAGGTCTGCCTTCCATCCCACCCATAGCAGATTTAGAGCCACAGCGACAGAACCCCCGGAGGGATACAAGGAGGAGGCGGGGTAACAGCTCCCGTCACTCTCGCTCACAAAGTCCTGAAAGGCAAAGGCGAAGAATTGACCCTCAAGCTCTGGAGGATCGCATAAAAGAGCAAGATGAACTAATAAGGAAGATGGCGGCAGACATGGAATTGATGAAGTGCCAGATAAAAGGGAAAGGGGTGGCGACAGGAGAGGGGCGCAAAAGCAATACGCCCCCTCGCCACTCTGAAGATCGTGGTAGGCATACCACGCCATCGCAAGCAGAGAGTAGGAGCCTCAGAACAGGCAACACTCAATTAAGGACTTCCAGAACTCGTTACTCTAGGTCTGAGAAAACGAGATCATTGAGGTCTTACACTGAGGGAAACACCTATCGGCCCTCATATACGCACCAGACATCGTCCAGGCAAACAGAGTTGCCTAGATCGTTCGACTTACGGACTGTACTTGAAGAAAGGGCACGACGCAAGGAGGATGCCAGGGCACGCGACCCGCATAGAGTTTCAGCCCTTCAGCGGTTGGTTCCTCGGACGCATGGAAGCGTCGAGGTAGGAATGCCAATACCGCACCTTGCCTATGAACCAACAGATAAAGCATTAGCAAGACTACATAGCTCGCCGTTCATTCCGGCGATTGAGAACGTACCATTACCCTCAGGCTTCATCCAACCTAAATTTACCACGTACAAGGGGAAGACAGACCCTTATATGCACCTAAGCCACTTTCGCCAGGTCATGGCAGTATACCGGCAGAACGAAGCTTTGATGTGCATCCTATTTCCATCCAGCCTTGGCGACCTAGGTTTAACCTGGTTCGAATGGCTATCAGAAGGCAGCATAGCCTCATGGGCACAATTAGCGGAGGCATTCGTGACAAGGTTTAGAACGAAAACTAAGACGCCAGTAGAGATTGATCAGTTACTCTCCATTGATATGGACGACAAGGAGACGTTGAGATCCTACAACAGTTGCTACTGGGAGACGTTCAACCAGATAGGGGACTGCCCTACCAATCTCGCCATCGCACAATACAAAAGAGGACTTCCAGTCGGAAACAAATTGAGATTCGATTACTATGACTCTACCCCTCACAATGGAAGCCTTGATGGAGAGAGTGCACCAACATATTCGGGTGGAGGAGGATGGCGCCCGTGCAAAGGCAAAATCTGGTACAACAGCAATACCAGATAAGAAGACTATGGCAAAAGTAAACATGGTAGAACATCCAAGCAAGAATGGACGAGGCAGGCGAGACAACGAAGAGGACCGAGATAAAAGATGGTTGAGAGTCCACACTGTCATTACCACGGTATTCAAGAAACCAATCTACCAAATTCTCAGTGAGATACGTGATGAACCTTTCGTCAGATGGCCAGCTAAGCTGGGAGAAGCACAAAAGGACTACGACGAAAGATCTCGGTGCACCTTCCATAAGGAAAAGGGGCACCGCACTGAAAATTGCACGCCGTTGAGACAGCATCTGGAGGAGTTAGTGACAGCTGGGCACCTGGACCGATACACAGAAGGAGGGACACAGCCAGCCCCCCAGAACCACAATCACCTAGACGGAATGTCGATCAACGCCTCACCTCAAGGCGTGATTAATGTAATACATGGGGTATTCAAACCTGAGCGAGTATGTGAGCTCAGGGGAACGATCAAGAAGGCTGAACACTTAAGAGAGGTATTGAGTGCCCAAACTACCATAAAAAAGGGGAAAACAGAACCCACGAACGTCATATCCTTCTCAGACAGAGACTTAGCAAGGATATACTACCCTCACAATGATGCACTGGTCGTCACACTCCACATCATGGATTACGACATCAAACGGATTTTGATCGATCAAGGAAGCTCGTGCGAGATAATGTATTACGAAACCTTCAAACAACTGAAATTAAAGGACAAAGACTTGGCACCTGCCGTATCTCCCTTGATCGGGTTCAACTTGATGCCAGAATGACCAGTCGGCAAGATAATCCTCCCAGTCAGAGTAGGAAGCATGACTAAACAAGTGAAATTCTGGGTATTGAAAGTGCCCTCCACTTATAACATAATCTTGGGAAGGACATAGCTGCATGCCATGAGAGCAGCAGCATCAACCTACCATCAAGTAATGCGATTCCCCAACGAAGTCGGGGTAATTGAAAAGGTCTCTGGAGACCAAATTATGTCCAAGCAATGCTTTGTCACAGTAAATGGCAACCGAGCTGCCAAGGGATTTGTTCAGATGGTGGAAGAGCCCGTGAGTAATGAATTGTTTGCAGATGTTGGCAAAGCCGCTGAACAAAAGGTAGTGGAAGACTTGGTACAGGTAAGAATAGATGAAAAGAACCCGGATAAGTTCTTTTTGCTTGGCTCATCCATGTCCAGTACTGAGAGAATAGAGGTCATGGAATTCTTGACCTCTAACATCGAATTGTTTGCCTGGACGCCGTATGACATGCCTGGTATTGACCCAAGCTTCATCTGTCACATTGAATGTCCACCCAACTGCCCGACCAATTATACAACGTACTCGCAGATCGGCACTCCACCATGCTGAGATAGTGGCAGAAGAAGTAGAAAACCTGCTAGAAGCAGGAGCTATCAGAGAGGTGTACTACCCCAAATGGATCTCCAATACCATAGTGGTGCCTAAGAAGAATGGAAAATGGCGTGTCTGTGTGGACTACAAAACGGTCAACAAGGCATGCCCAAAAGACAGTTTTCATCTTCCACGGATAGACCAACTGGTAGATCTGACTGCAGGACACAACTGTCTTAGTTTTCTTGATGCGTACAGAGGGTACCATCAGATCGCCATGTATGAGCCAGACCAGGAGGTTACATCTTTTACAATGCCAAGAAGACTATATTGTT